CAGAGGTTAAGGAGAGAGAGATCAAGATCCTCCATCTGCTGATTCACTTTCCAAATGGCCAGAACAGCTAGAGCTGGGCCAGGCTGAAGCCAGGAGCTGTGAGCTCCTTCCAGATTTCCCGTGTGGGTGGCAGGGACCCAAGCACCTGTACCATGTGCTGCTTCCCAGGTGCATTAGCGGGACGCTGGAACAGATGCAGAGCTCGTGCTTGACCCCAAACACTGATACAGGGTGTGGGTGTCCCACGTGCCAGCCTAACCCGCTGTGCTACAGTGCTCTCTCCTCCCTTTTATTGATTCTAACAAGTTCTCTGCCATTAGTTCATCATATATTGCCCCTCCTTCATCCCTCTCGTGTTTATTAGCTCCCTTGGAAATAAAGTAAATGTGGTTTAGACCTTTCCGTGCCTCTCGTACTTCTCATTATCTGGCTTCGTGCCGTGTAAGTTCTCTCAGGTCTGCCTCTCAGTTCATTAGCTTTCACCTCACCTGCATCTAACCTGCTCTTTAACGTTCATCAGTCTCTAACAGCTTTGATGCATACAGGGGTGTGTGTGTGTGTGTGTGTGTGTCAGTGACATCAATGCATATAGGTGTGTGTGTGTCAGTGACATCACAGTCAGAAGACAAGGGTATCTGTTACCTCCAAAGTTTTCTCCTGCACCTGTGTGATTCTCGCCTCCTTCCTGCACCTACCCCCAAACTCCAGTGTGCCTGTTTTAGAATTCTAGCTGTAAAAATTCTCAGCTTCCTGAGTTTCAGGTCACACAGGAAGCGTGAATTCTGTCCCCAAATGGGCTTGCAGGCTGACGTCGTAGATCTCAGGGCACGGAGTCCTTGCGGTTTACTTTGTGGAGTGCCTTCTCTTCTAGTTGACTCTCCACTACAGGTGTCGGCCTGGGCGGCCTGGCTTCACCTCGGGATCTGAGCCAGCTGCTCACCTTACCAAGTCCCGCACGACTCATTCACAACAGAGCTCTGTGTTGCTGGAGGTCCCTGGGGGCCCTGGGGCCCGCCACCCTAACGACTCTTTCAGGCACTCCAGGTCTGTGCTCCCATCTTGCCCTTGACCTCCAGCAGTTATGTCTGCCTTTGTGAAAGCTCGGTCACATATTTGGAAAACCAAAAAGTTTAAATCTTTGATGTGGGCGTTTTCTTTTTATAGTAGGAAGAGCTCTAAGGGATAGATAGCCCGTCTTTTGCAGAAGTAGAATTCCTGTTTAACATCTTTTCTGAGGTTAGCAGCAACATCCCCTACTGACTTTGCCCTCCCTCCTGCTCCTTCTCAAGCATGACTGACCAACATTTGGTTGACAGTGCCAGAATCCTGGGGTGATTGTTTAAAACTGCATACCCTTGACCGCAAACCTACAGAATTCGAATCTCCCTCTGGGGGTAAGGCCCGGGGGGGTTCACTTTGCATCAGCCCTGTCTGTGGGCCCTTACGCCCACTCCTGGCGTAGTGCAGGGTCCTCAGGGAACCCTTTATGTCCTGAGCTCATCAGTGGTATTGTGGGTACCGGGCTGCTCTGCCTTTCCTCCTCTGCACAGACTTCCACGTTCTCTGTACAACTTTAACTTCTGTTCCATCCGAATGCCGGTTTCACAGCCGTTTGCCCAGGTGGTCTCTGCTGTCTGCAGCCATCAGGTGTTGTATGTTCCCAAGGAGCTGGGTGACATTTTCTGGGTCACGACGCTCTGTGGGCCACTCCCTGCAACACGAGGTGTGGCTGTGACTGTGAAAGCTCGGGTCCAGGAGCCTGTGGCACTGGTCCTGTGCAGGCCGCAGCTGGCCCAGCTTCCCCAGCTGGCCCGCCCTCCGCAGTTTTCTGCCTCATCCATCACACCGGTGCTGCGATGTCACGTAGAGTGTTTAGCGGCGGATCTTTCCCGCTCGCCGTCTGCGAATGTTCTTCATCAGATGCTGGCTTGGCAGCTGTTGCTTTATTGGAGGCCGCGGGCTGATTTCCCTTGACTGGAGACATCTTGGTGTGGAGTGCTCAGGGCGAATCACGAGTTAGCCCATTTACAGCAGTGATCAGTGAGGCCAGCTCAGTCCACCGTCTGCTAATGCATTGTCTGTGATTTGAAACCCACGAGGAAACTGGGTCTGGGGACTGTCTTCATGGACATGCCATGCTTCTTTGGGTTGAAGTACACATTTTGAGGAAATAGAGGCAATTCCTTATATTGCCTGGCATCTCGATACCAAGATTTGGTATCATGAGAGAACTGGTTAATATCCATTCTGTGGGCAAGCAGATTTAACTGTGAATCTGCGTCAGTGTGAAAGGGTTTTAAAAACATCTTGCTTGGTTGGTTTTTTAGCATCCTTCAGTCACTTGTTTGCAGTCCCATTCAGTCATAAGAAAAGCTCTTTGTTTATATATAGTATCAGGTTTTAGGGGTCCTGCAAAGTTGTTTTTCCCTCCCAGCTACTGAGTCATTGAGATCATCCTCCCCGGGGAAAGAAGAGGAAACAAAGGGTTAAATGCCCAGAGGAGGTCTTCAACAAGTGCTTGCTTATTGGTTATCTCAGTGTCTCCTTATAACTTGATACTGATTTCTTCCACCAGCGGCTTATGACAAAAAATCTTGTAAATCCAGTCACCCCTCCTTTCTTTCGATGGTTACCGAGTTTCCTTCTGGGAACTCTTCTAGGAACTGAGACTATATCCATGAATTCATTCCTTGCCTTCATGAATTTTATTTTTATAATCAAGAGAGAGAACAAACAAAACCTGAGACTAGATTATGTAGGCATGTGTAGACCCTACAAAATATACTTGGATTTCATTCTAAACAGGAAGCTGTTGGCTGGTTGAGAAAAGGGAGTGGCAGGACTTGATGTCTTTTAGAAGGTTCACTCTGGCAGGCATTTGGTGCTGCAGTTATGTCCCACAGCGGAGTGTCTGGTTCCAGTCCTGGCTCCTCCACTTCCATCCGGCTTCCTAGGAGGCAGCAGCGATAGCTCAAGTACTTGGATTGAGTTTTGGGGCTTTGGTGTGGCCTAGCTCCAGCTGTTGCAGGCATCTGGAGAGTGAACCAGTGGATGGGAGTTCTTTCACTGCCTTTCAAACGAAGTGCAAGTAAATTTTTTAAAATTTTAAATAAACATTAAAGATTCATTCAGACTTCTGAGTTAGAATTAGATTGTCCGAGGTGGAAGCAATAATTAAAGCAAGGTCGGAGGTGAGAAAGATTGGTGGCTTAGCAGTGGTGGTAATGAAAAAAGGATGTACTTACATTTCAAGACTGAAGCCTGTAGGAGTTGCTGACAAGTTGGTTATAGAGTGTGAAAAAGAACGGGGTCAAGGATGAAGGCAGCATTTTGTCCTGGATGTGCTGGCCATCGCATGGCCATTTGCTGAGATGGGCAGAGGCCCAGAGTGGAAGCTTGAGGACTGGATAATGTTAAGTCACCCGAATGGAGATGTGACCGGTGCTGTGGGAAACACAAGTCTGGAGTTCAAAGCTGAAGTCGGGGTGGCTGTGTACTCATAGGTGTGGAGCCAGCAATCTGTAGATGATGATGAAAGCTGTGGAAGAGAACAAAGTCACCCAGGGCCGGAGCGCAGAAGGCTCCCCTGTATTTAGGTGACTCTGAAGTCAGGAAGAGGGAGGTCAGCTGGTAAAGCTGCTGCCTGCGGTGCTGGATCCCATATGGGCACTGGTGCCGGTCCTGGCTGCTCTACTTCAATCCAGTTCCCTGCTAATGTGCTTGGGTAAACAGTTGGAAGGTGGCCCAAGTGCTTCACCCCCTCAACCATGTGGGAGACCCAGAAGAAGCTCCTGGCTTGAGCCTGGCCCAGCCCTGGCTGTTGTGGTCATTTGGGGAATGAACCAGAGGATGGAAGATCTCTCTCTCATATATATATGTGTGTGTGTGTGTGTGTGTGTTATCTTGAAAAGAGGGCGGGAAGAGGAGGGACCTAAGAAAGGGAGCTAGAAGACGGCATGAAGGACCGTGTGGTCAGTTACGTTAAGTGCAGTGAGAAGTAAGGTGAGCTGAAGAACCAACTACCAGATCTAATGGTGTGGCGGTGTCACTGGGGTCAGTACAGTGGTAAAAATGAAAATCTGTTGAGCCTGAGTTGCAGAGTGGGAGCTAAGGAAGTAGGAGCCCTTGAATCAGAGGCGATTCTTTGGAGGAGTCCTGTTGCTAAAGCCAGAGAGAAGAGAAGAAACAGCTGTAGGCGATATGAGACCAAGGGAGAGTTTCTGTGAGTTTAATGCCAGTGATCCTTTGTAAGTGAATTGAAGGCAGATGTGTGGGCACAAATGCTGGGGTTCAGCATACTTGGTGCTTGGAGGACGAACTTCTCTTCTGATTGTGAGGGTGTGAGTGAGGCGAGAAGGGGAAAGAGCAGATTGGAAATATGGGAAGCAATGCAAGATGTAAAGTAAACATTTTGGAGAGCATGTTTGCCAAAGGTTTCAAATCTTTTTCTAGTCTAGATTGAAGTGTAACCTCAAAAATACCAAGTATTCCTGTGGCTATTCTGCTGAAAGTTATAGTTTATACCAAAAATCACTGAAAAAACGCCAGAGTGCTTCTCTGATTTGTTCAGGGAAATATAAAAGTTGCTGGATTTCAGTTTTTGCATAGCTAATTAATATATTTCAGATTGTATAGGGAATGATTGTGAAGCAATGTGGATCCACCTGCTGATTTCTTCTCCTGGAGTGTGTCAGAAATAACGCTTGCTTGTGTCTCCTTCTAGAGATATTTTATTGATCTGTTGTTTAAAAGCCAAATGTATACCATGACTTTTTCAAATAATCCTTACTCCTATTAAATAGTTTTAAGCTATTGCTATTACTATATTCCCTTATTCTCTGTAGTTTATATAAATACAATTTCTGAAAAAGAGCAGGAAAGAGCATCTGTGTTAATACTGACTTCATGATTTTGGCAGCCATCCTGCAGTTCTGCGTTTTAGGTTTTTCTGAGACTTGTGTTTATTTAACAAGGTTCTTTTTCCTTCTTTGTCTTCACAGCTGATCTTGCATCGTTGATGGATAACACATATGAGAGAAAGTTGCCTGTGAGTTCTTTAACAATATCACGGGTAAGTACATTTAAACATATGTATTTTCAAAGAAGAAGCAGGAAGAAAGCACTTCCTATAGATGAGGCTGTGTAAATAAAGAATGTCCTTCGTAGGAAACATTTTTCTAGAGTATGGTATGTTTTTGTAGCTACTCCTCATAGATATTTTATGGTGTAGCAGCAGATTTCTTTGGCTGAAATAAGATGTAATGAGTTTGCCAGACTTCAGTGTGTTTATTATTGATCTTGTGGTAAGTACTGTCGTACAGCTGATTTGTTTCTCATTTTTCTAGGATATAATCTGCTGTATGATACCGTGATTTTTGTTAATAAAACTCTTCAAGGCAGTATTTACCTGGTAGTATTACTAGTGGTTTGGGTACTTGAGAAACGCTGTAGAAGAGTGGGTATTAATTTTAGACTGTAAAGCAGTGCAAGGAAGAGTAAAGTTGGTTTGACAGGAATGGTAATTGATAGTAACCGCTGTGGAGCACCTTCTGTGCCTCTTAGTTTATTTGAAAAGCAGAGAGAGAGAGAGAGTCTCCATCTGCTGGTTCACTCCCCAAATGTCTACAACAGCCAGGACTCGGCCAGGCCAAAGCCAGGAGCCTGGAACTAAATCCAAATCTCCCACATGGGTGGCAGGGACCCAAGTACTTGAGCCATCACCTGCGTTCCAGGGTGCCCATCAGCAGGAACTGAGCCCAGGCATTCTGACATGGGCTGCAGGCGTCCCAAATGGCCATCTCCACCGCTGTGCCAAACACCCACCCCGTATCGCCTTCCTTGCATACGGTATTTCAGTTCTCATCGCAGCCGTATGAGGTAAGCATTGTCTCCATTTTACATATGTGACAGAGAATGCTTTAATAGCCTTCCCAGGTTCCCACAGCTTATATGTAGAAAACTTGGGATTCAAACCCTGTTATCTGACCATCAAAGTTCTCTTCTGGGGGTGGGCGTTTGGAGCAGCAGTTAAGACACCACTTGGGATGCTCGCTTCTCGTATCAGAGTGCCTGGTTTCAAGTCCTGACTTCACTTCCAGTTCCAGCTTCCTGCCCAGCTCATTCTTGGAGGCAGTAGGTGGTGGTTCAAATACTTGGATCCCTGTTATCCATGTGAGAGACCCAGATTGAGTTCCTGGCTCCTGTCTTGAGCCTGGCCCAGCCCCAGCTGTTTTAGATATTTATGAGAGGGAACCAGTGGATGGGAGATTTCTCTGTGTCTCTGCCTTTCAATTACATAAAATTTAAAAATTAAAAACAAAAAATAATTCTCGTGCCGCTCTCAGATGTGTTGGGTCTTTATTGTGAAGTCTCAAGATTCTGGCACCAGGCCCTGTCTCCTCATTCCCATATGAGCACAGTGATATCTTCCTCTCGGGGCTAATGTGATGCTAAAGTGAGCTGCTCTGAGTTGTGAACGCTCTGTAGCAATGAATGACACGTGAATGAATATGCAGGGAGGACGGAAGAAGTTATCTTCCTTTTTAATCCTGGCCCTTCCTTTTTCAATAGGGAAACAATGTAACTTGGCTCTAACTTTATAGACTCAGAGTTGGGGTGTCAGAGGAGAACTGAAAGGCCACTGGCTCACCCCAGGTGTGCAGGATGGAAACTCCGTATGGCATAATAGGTGGCAGGTGTTTAAGTGGGCCCGGAGGTTTGAAGAGCTTCCTCCACATCCATTTTGTCATTGGAGCCTCAGACTCTTCGGGCAGAGGCCTTTTATCTTGTCGGTGCAGATGGAGCAGCTGAGTCCCAGAGGGGCTGTGCCATCTGTTTATGCCACACAGCAAGCCATCGAGAAAGCAGGGCCTCAGCCCAGCTCCTGGGCCTGAACCACATTGTACCTGCCCTGGACGGGATTTCTAGACCAAATCCACAACATCCTGGGCATTTTAGGAATAATCCTGTTTATTTGGATTGTAGCCGAGGAGTCTAGTCGGGGCTTTTGTGTTTTTAGTGGAGATTCTGTTGGTAGAGGAATCATAGATTGGGCCAAAACAAAGCTGAATCAGAGTAGGAGAAGGGGTCACAAGCTGAATTCTCTAAATGCAGGTTTTTATGTTCCAGGCGACACTGTTTTTTCAGCCATCAGCGTCTTCATCCTTTCTGCTGCGTGTCCCTGTGTATTGGGAGCTTAGGACGTAGGGATCATTGGGGTGCTGACTGATTCCAAGTGTGGAGAGCTCTCCTCCCTGTGAGCAAGGTGCCTGGTTAGACTTTGAAGGTGCTCTTCTGGTCAAGGTTATGCTGTGCGTGGAGAAAGAGAAGCCGTCGTGTATTCTGTGTTTGTCTCTGAGAGCATAAAGGGGTTTCAGGGATGGAGCCGTATCACGTGAGCATGGTTGCACTCAGCCTGACCATTTTTTTCAGTAAATTGGGTGTCCTGCCTTTATTAAGGTCAGTGTGAGGACGAGGCTCAATACATGGCACACTGTTTACTCACCCAAGGGTTTCTTTTCCTGTCTTGTAGTTTGTGGACAACATTTCGTCTCGAGAGGAAGTAGACCATGCAGAGTATTACCTTTACAAGTAAGTTTTCTATTGGGTTTGGCCGACTGCTGTGTGATTTCACACCCCCTTTTAACATGAAAAATGATACAATATGGGGTGATTGATGCCTTGCTTTTTTAAGTTCATACTGTAGAGATCTTTCCCTATCAGTAAGTAGAGCTCTTCCTCATTTTTATAACTGCACCATATTCATACTGTGAATATAGTATTTATCTAGTTCCCTATTGGAAGGGCCTTTAGGTTGTAATCTCCTTTTCTCTGTCTCATTATATACAATGCTATAATTAATAACCTTGTCTAATTCTGCCCATAATTCTCATGAGTGTTTATGTTTTTAATTTTTAAAATGTATCGACTTGAGAGGCAGAGATACACACTGAGAGACAAACGGAGCTCACATTTGCTGGTTCACTTCCCAGAGCAGAGGTCTACAACAGCCAGGGCTGAGTTAGAAACTCCATCCAGGTCTCCCACCTGTGTAGCAGAGACCCAAACACTTGAGCCGTTGTCTGCTGCCTCCCAGGGCACACATTAGCAAGAAGCTGGATTTGAGAGTGGAGCCAGGACTTGAACCCAGGCCCTCTGATATGAGATTCAGGCTTCTCACGTGGCAGCTTTAACACTAGATCAAATGCCTTCCCTATATACTTTTTTTTTTTAAGGTTTATTTATTTATTTGTTTGTTTGAAAGGCAGAGTTATCTACATAGAGAGAAAGACAGATCTTCTGTCTGCTGGTTCACTTCCCAAGTGTCCAGTTGCCTGGGCTGGGCCAGGCTGAAGTCAGGAGCCTAGAACTCCATCTGGGTCTCATGTGGGTGGCAGGGACCCAAGTACTTGGGCCATGGTCTGCTGCTTTCCCTGGCACATTAGCAGAGAGCTAAAGTGGAAGTGGAACAGCCAGGACTGGAACTGGCACTCCTGTGGGCTACTAGCATTGCAGGTGGGGCTTAATCCACTGTGCCACAGTGCTGCCCCTGTCCTCTTCCCACTTCCCCCCATATACTCTTAATTTTGATAGCTGTAGCCAAATTGCTTTCCGCTGATACAGCAATGTATCAGAGAGGCCTGTTCTTACAGCTTGGCCAGTAAAAGAGTATTTTGGTTTTTTTGTTTTGTTTTGTTTTGTTTGCTGATCAGGTGAAACATTTCCTTTATATACACAGGTTAAATATCCGTGGTCTGAAATGGCTGAGACCAGGAGTGTCTTGGATTTTTTGAGTTTTGGGATTTGGGAATTTTGCATAGACTTTACAGGTTGAACATCCTTAATCTGAAGATTTGAAGTGAGAAATGCTCCAAAATCTGAAACCCTTTGAGCCTGACATTGGTGCTCAGAGAATTTAAGGTGCAGGACATGGAGAAGTTGGGGTTTTGGATTAAGGATGTTCAACCTGTATATGTCTTTCTCTCTCATACAGATGGAAATACGCTCTGTACAAACTGCTTGGCATCTATTTCCAATTAACACTATATTTTAAAATATTTTCTGCATTACTGCTTTTGGCACTTCATTCTTTCTCATAGTTGTGAGGAATTCCATTTTGAGCTACAGATACAGTCACCCTAGGTAGAAAGAAATGTGTTCAGTACAGCGTTCTCACTAGTAGCACAAACCCGCAATGACCTAATGCTCGTTAAATCAAGGGCTCGTTTTTCAGTTCAGAATGAGATCGTACAACTAGCTTTTTATTATGATTCCTGTTTTAAAAATCTGACTTATGATTTGTTCCAATTATTAGACTCCAAAAATAGACTCAGATTGAAATGTAAAATGTTTCTAGTAAGCATTGTATCTGAATTCTTATTTGATTTTGCTTCGATTTGATTGAGAACTCTTGGATATTTAGCAGGTACATTGTAAAAACCTTACTCTATTTTAGTGCAAATTCGTTCAGTTACATTTTATTTTACTGCTAAAAAGTAATGAAGCTTCTATTTTGTATTTCTGATTTGGGTCAGTTCTACTAGCATTTTTTTGTTTTCTGCTTAAATATAAACCTCAAGTAGGCTAGATTCCATCCTTAAATCTAAAGTTGTCTTGAACAGTGTCCTAAGTTTAAGTTCCAGGTTCTGAAGTCGTAATGGCAAGCGTCCTCTTACCCTTCCCTAAGGTAGTATAAATGGACCCCTTGGTGAGGGGGAGCCCTGCCACCCTTCAGTGACTCTGTAGGACTCCGCCATTGCTTGGTAGTTACTTTGTCCATGGTCAAGCATTTGAGTTGGCACCTGGACAGTTCTCATTTTTGCTTTGTCCATGGACAAATGCAGAAAATGGTTTGATTTTGAAATTGAAACTATTTCCTAGAATTTCAACCTGTAAAACACAGTGGCATTGCCTTGGAGGAGATTCATCACAAGTTCACAAGTACTTCTGTAACAGCTGGTTGGTTTCAGCAGTTCGGCATTCAGCAAGCATGTGCTGAGGGTCTGTTAAGTGCCTAGACCCTGTCCGAGGTTCTGGACACCCAGTGATGGGTTAGGTTAGACACTGCCCCTGTGACTGAGAAGTTTAAGTCCTACCTTCAAGACCTTCAAAGATTGCATCTTCAAATCATGTCCACTTTTGTGTGGCCTGGAGTCTTACTGAAAGATTTGTAAAATGGCTGCTTCAGTTTCCACATGGATCATGTAGAACACTCTTGATCTGAGCCAGTGTTGGGTTTCAGATTCCGTTCTTTGCTTTAATTAGAGCTAATGTTCCAGCTAAGACTTACCATCTTTTTAGTTTTGTTCTTTTTTTCCCCTTCCATTTCTGAGAAAATTACCTTTGTTTTTCTCAGCTTACTTTTTTCTTTTAAAGAAAGAAATGTTTTTGTGACTTGACAAGATCCCAATTGTGAGTGTATGAGACTAAGTACAAATGTACAAAGCTGCATCTAGAAGTCGCTTCTGAATCCCAGACTTCTCGCAGCTTCTCACTGGCCCTGCTTAGTTCCTCATTCCCGAGGCAGCGCTGGGTTGTAGAGCAAGATGAACAGTAGGACATTTGCAGTGGCTCCTCCTTGGCCCTCCCACAGCCTGTGGATGCGGGCTCTTAGCTAGCAGACTGTAGCTGCCACATCTCAGGATCAAATCTGCCCAACCATTCTGTGAAGACAGCTGGAGCCAAAGACGCTTGGAAACTTGGACGATGGAGAGCTGATTGAGCATCTGCCATGGTATCGGGTGCACCAGTAAACAGTGCCAAGTTCCAGCAGTTGAGGGTACTGCTGGCGCTTGCCAGCTTGCTACCAGCAGAGAACTGGAGCCTTTGAATCTCTTGAAGTACACGGTTAAGTGTTCAGGGGCATCGGCCATAAAAGAGTACTGGGGTCTTTTAAGGAGGGATAGAAAGGCTGCTGTTGAGGCAGCACGAGGGAGAGCAAACATGGGAACACTCTTACTTGGCTGTGGGGACCAGCAGCCCTGTGATCCACGTCTACCCTGCTGTTTCTAAATAAAATGGAAACACCAAGGGAAGGGAAAGGATGCTGTGAATCAAAGAATAATGTGAGCTAATGATGATGGAAGCGGTTACCATTGGAAACTGAGTTGATCCAAAAACAAAAAACTCATGGCTTTCTATACATGTAAAGGGAACAATTAACCAAGGCTAAAGGGGATTAAACCAGAGAGAATGTTAAAATGGAGTAAAATAAAGTATGAAAGCTAAGAATAAGAACTGTTGGGCTATAATAAAGAAAGAAAACTTAGCTAAAATAATGAAGACTTATACAGTTTAGGCTAGGGGGTTGGAAAAGTAGATATGGGTGGGCTCTTGTACAGGTCCCCTTAGCTCGCTAAGTAACAGACCTCTTTATGAGTTGTCTGCAGGCTGCCTTCGGAGAAGGGCAGAGAGGCCAGCCTGGCTGTCATAGGACCTTTGCTTCACTTGGCCAGAGAAGCTGTGCCTCCATTGCTTTATATCTCAGGCTCTGCAGAGAAAATTTACAGCAGTCTACAAACTTGGATAAGAATAAATCCCTTATATTTCTTGTTGTCTATGAGTTTTTATTGCTGTTTGTCTTTAAGAGCCATGATCTTGGAGCTGGCACTGTGACACAGCAGGTTAAGTTGCCATCTGCAACACCAGCATCTCTATAAGGGCACCAGGTCAGGCCCCAGCTGTTCCACCTTTGACCCAGTCCCCTGCTAATGTGCCTGGGGAAGCAGTGGAAGATGGTCTAAGAGCTTGAACCCCTGCCGCCCATGTGGGAAATCTGGATGATGCTCCTGGCTCCAGCCTGGCCCAGCCCTGGCCATTGTGGCCATTTGGGAAGTAAGCCAGCACATAGAAGATTCTGTGTGTGTGTGTGTGTGTGTGTGTGTGTGTGTCTGTCTGTCTTGAGACACACTCCTCCCAACCCCGTCCCGGCCCTGGTCCCCTGGCGGAGGCACTTCAGGGCTGAGCCCATCTCGCTGCCCCCACACCTTCTTTTCTTCCTGCACCTGTGCAGAAACTCAGCAGCCTCCAGTGTCCAAGTTTTATTTGGAAGGCAGAACACCTATCAGCCAGAAGCTTGCCTTACTCTATAACGTGTGAACTCGACCAAGAAAAGAATGCTTTGTCTGAAAAGAAAACAAAGACCTAGAATACTTCAAAAGCCCTGGTGAAATAAGTAGAAAAGTGCCTAAGTAAAGGGATCTATTTTTCAAACAAGTTCTCACAGCAGGGTTCTCAACAGTGTTCTGTATCTTAAGCCCTCTGGCACGCTGACAAGGCCCACGGGCGGGTTTCTCACACGGAAGTCAATTACACTGAAATACAATTATCAAGATGGGAAGAACTTGAGATATGGAAACATATGTGCTGCTAATGCCTGAAATAACGTGATCTAGCTGTGGTTTCATCACTAATCTTTACACAGTGATGAACGCGGTTTGTCAAGATACTCGCAACAAATACACGATATGGAAAATCAGTGGTTTCTCTTGGTGAGGACACTCTGCCTTTCAAATAAATATTTTTAAAAAAAAAGGCACTCACAATCTTAGTTCTTTCTCTTCAGGAGATCCACTTTAAGGATCTGTCTGTGT